CCCTCTCGGGAGGTACAGGCAAGCGATTTCTGTATCTATAGCTGCATTTCAAACTCCTGACTCTAATAAATTACTCAGGTCTCTATACGGAGTATGACCTTGTAAGTTCTGACTGTTAGACAAATGTGACCTGGTCCTGTGGGTCTGCGTGAGGAAATCCTGGGAATCTGAATACTTTGCTCCTGTTGCACTCGTCTGCAGGAGATCGCTCATTCAGATACACTCATTATTTTTCCGAGCAAGTGAGTGGGCGTGGATTGAGGCGCTGCCTCGGCGGCCTTTCCCATTAGTTGATGCTGTCTCAGGCAACAATTAATTGGCAAGAAAGGCTTTTCGGCTAAACGTCAACCCACGCCGACTCACAGGCCCCTCGTTTGCGAGTTCATTCCAAATTCTATGCATTTTTGCAGGAAAATAGTTTGTTGAGTGTTTTGTTTTTATCCTCTGTGCAACCTTTATTAATAAAAATTGCTTCAATAACATCGGGAATGCATGCCTTTATTTATAACATATTCATTCATTACTAAAGAGCGGCAGACGTCGTTGTAGTATCTTAATGGCCACCTGTGGGAGCTGGTCGAGTGGGAGACGCATGTGTGGGATGGGTGGGAGCTATATGCGTGGGACTTGGTCGCACGGTAGGTGAGTGTGTGGAAGCTGGTTCGGTGGGAGCGGCGTGCGTGGGTTCTGGTTTTGTGGGAGCGACATTTGTGGGTTTCGGTCGCGTGGGTTGAGTACCTGTGGATTCTGGCCGCGTGGGTTTAGTACCTGTGGATTCTGGTTGAGTGGAAGCGGTATGTGAGGGATGCGGTCGCGTGGGATGGGTACGTGTGTGATCTGGTCCCGCGTGGGAGGGGTACGTGTGGGATGTGGTCGCGTGGGAGCGGTACGTGTGGGATGTGGTCGCGTGGGAGCGGTACGTGTGGGATGTGGTCGCGTGGGAGCGGTACGTGTGGGATGTGGTCGCGTGGGAGCGGTACGTGTGGGATGTGGTCGCGTAGGGGTAGGTCGTGAGGGGAAGGGCTTTGTTGGAGCGCTTCCTGTTGGTGTAGCCACCGTGACGTCTTTCAGGCACTGCACACTGATGAATCTTACAAATTGGCCGTCAATACTCTGAGCCTGCCATCTGAAAAGGTTTGATCTCAATGAGAATGATTATTGTGATAGGGGCTCGTGACTTACCGTCCATTTCTGCATCTCGCAATTTTCTCAGCACCGGCTCCGACGCTCAGGATAGTACCATCGGATGTTGTAATGCTCATGATGCTTCCATCGGTTGGGCACTCAATGGCCGCGTGGGATCTTCCGTTCCTCTTGAAATACCTGTACGGGAATGAGTATTCATCAAACTGTCAAAAATAACTCAGCTATCAGGATCAATGAGAGCTAGAGTGACGACAATTTGCTTTCGGCCATGATGAGGTAGCCACTACTTCGTGTCCCCCTGGCCGCCTGTACAAGTTGAGCACAGCTTTTAACAAGGCAGTGATGCAGGTAGCATCCATCCACATTCAGTTCGCCAAAGGA